GAGGTTGACTGGGGATGTTTTAGCTTTCCTTATTGGCTTGTTACTGAGGAAATCAAATGGAGAAAGAATTTGGAAATGAGAGAGAGAGAGAGAGAGAGAGAGAGAGAGAGAGAGAGGAAAATGTCATAAATGATCAAAAATTGACATGAAGGGCACCAGAATTTGACATATATGTTTATTTTACAGTATCATTGCATATACTTCACATAGATAGAAGATATCTTGCTACTTGTTGGCAGATATTATCTAGTAGATAATAGCAAATATGTTATATCTAGTAAGCAGATTTATGCATCAGCAGGCAGTCTTTTGACATGACAAGATTATAGCTCATTATTTCAAGAAGAACTCTCATTGAAGAGAACAAAGAAAATGGACTTTGCTCAGAAATGAATTTATCAGTTGAAACAGCCATATCCATGGAAAGTGAAGCTTCAGTGACCTCATTGTATGTGTTCAAGAGACTGGCCTCAATCTAAATGTCAGGGAAGATGTTAATGGAGATTCTGGTGATTTCAGATAAGGTTTGGCAGTGAGTGTGCCTGTGCTAATATGTGAGTCCTTCAAGACCACAAACCTGTATTGCAGAAATCAAATTCAATCAATCAGAAAAAAGATATATCTGATAACAAGTCATAGATGCTTAGAATCAAAGTTCTATACCAAAATGTCAATTGATGCATCATAATAAATATATTACATAGCACAATACTCAAGCTGATACTTTCCAGAAGAAAAAGGAAGAAGAAGCACAGTTCTGGCCTGCATCGATCTCTCTTCTGGGAGAACCTGCAGCCAACTCTTATTGCACTTATCACAAGGAGGAAAGCATCTCTGTTTCAATGGCTAACCAAATACCCAACATTAAAAGAGCTTGAGATAGATGGCAAATTTTGATGCAGAAGACTATGTGCGAGCGCGCCCGTAAAGGTTGAGGTAGACGATTCTAGTCCTGTAAACAAGAATGAGGCTCAAGATAACTGCGATGACACAGAGTCCTGACATGATCAGTGAACTGAAGAAGAAACAGATGGACCCTTTGCATTTCAATGGTTCCTCCACATCGAGTAGAGCACCTTCCAACAGTCTACGAACTCGCAGCAATGAGCTGCGGATTCCGTGAGCTTGTTTCTCTGCTTCGTGGTCGTAAATTACACTGGCAATGAGGCCGGAGAAGATTAATGAACCAGCAGGATTAGCCACCGTAAGAAAATTGTACAGAGCTCCAAAGTTCTTCAAGCCAAACAGCTCCGATGCAGCAGCGGGGACTATAGCCCAGTGAGCTCCATATCCGAGTCCAATCAGCAAGGTTCCGATGTACATTGTTCCAGGCCAAGCCATGGCAAAGAATAAGTGTCCTATTGCCATTACAATCTGGAAACAAGCCAAAGCCACATGCCTTGGATATGCATGGTCCCTGATAAGAAACTACACACTGTCACTACTAAGAGATGAATAATCAATACCGAAAAGAAACCCAGAGTTCGATACGATGTCAAAACATGAATAATCAATACCGAAAAGATAAATTTGGCCAGCTAGTTATGTTAACTTTTAGAACAAGATACAGAAAAGAAAACGTAGATGGATTACTTGTGACATTCTTATGACATCCTTCAATATATACCAGAGATGGAGTTAATTTGCAGTGACTTATTCCTGTATCTGACTTTACTTTTCCTAATGCAATCACCAATCTAACATGACACAAGACAGATGCTTCCTCATTGGCTACAAGATCAACAAATAAACCTTCCCTAGGACTAAACCAAATTGGTAGATATCTGATTTCTTCATAAAGTGACAGTAAGATTCTTCAGAATCTTTGTGCAGAAACTTACTGGTGCCTCTAATTTCTGTGTAGATAAGAAGTCATTTCAACTATCATTTCAAATGAAAATTAGGTTGAACAAAACAATCATACCTCACGATAACCTCAGATAAATAGCCTCCACCTACTCGACCAAGAAAGTTCCAAATGCTGATCATGGAGACAAAAATATGAGCCTCGTCATAACCCAAAGACTCGCTCATCTGACCAAGATTGTCAATGACCGTCAACCCAGAGCCTGATCCCAGGAGAAGAGAGACAAACATGAGCCAAAAGTCTGCCTTTATCAGTGCCTGCATCAAGGTGAAGTCTTCTCCTCTGTGAGGGCCTCTCTTCTTCTTCACCCTGACTGCTCCATCAGCAGCAGCTTGGAACAGCTTTGCTTGCAAGTGAGCGATCCGCTTCTGCCTTTCTGATGCAGGAAGCAGGTCGACATCCTTGGGCTTTTCATCCTCAACCTCACTGAAAATGACCTCATTTTGTTCTGCAGATTTGCTTGACTCTCCATTTGAAGGTTCAGGCAACAGAAACTCTTGAACAGGAGAGACGACATCGAAATGGAAGGTCAGCAGCAAAGGAATGACAACAGGAACTATCAAGAGAAAGAGCAGCACCACCGTGAACACGATGATCACGGCGCGGCTGAGGTCAACCAGGTCTTCCAGCAGCATGACACCCATCAAGTAAGCAGCAAGGAGCAAGCAAATGCTGTAGACGAACATGAAACTAGATTGATCCGAAGGTCTCACTTGCCTGTGGCCACCGACGGGCCTGACAATAAACATCAAGGAGATGACCACCATCGATGGTCCAACCGCAACCATGAAGATCAAAGCGGCATGATCGGGTGTATGTATCATCGCAAAGATCTGCGTCAAGATTGCACCACTGAGACCAGCAAAGCCTTTCAATATGCCCACTATAGGGCCCCTGCTCTTAGGAAAGTTTTGTACGCACGAAACCAGCGCAGCTGTGTTGAAGTACGTCTCTCCATTTGTCCCCACAAATATGAGAATGCACATCTGTGCACAAAGCAGAGATGGATAAAGAAGGTTACTCGTAGAATTAACCCACTTTGAAGCTCTAAGCAACAGTATAACTCATGATTACCATGCTGGAATGTTCAAAGAGATCGAACAACAACAGAAGATAAGTGTTCAATGTTGCTGCTAAGTAACATGTTGGCACTGAACTTTGAACAGATGAATGCTGCTGACATTTCACTCGAGAGATGATGAAGAACAGTCATTTCAGTCATGCATGGGAATTGTCTAGATATCAAATGCAAGGAGGCTCTACTTCGAAATCAGATGATGCAGAGCACAGCGAAAACATCATTAAGAAGGCAACAGATGGATGGAGAACCAACTATGATCGCGTATAAATCATGTTTTGAACAGGATTGCAATGAGCATTATTCTAATTTGCAATAAACAAACCGAATGCTGCACTCAAACAAATCATGACTGTGGCAGAAAGACAATACCGAAGTGAATATGCGATAAAACTACAAAGGAAATAAATTTAATGTTCCCTTATTTCCCACAATAAAATAGCTTGTAAATCCCAAACACAGGTGTTTGTTTCAGATTCTTAAAGCTAAATGGACCGACACCCACTCGAAAGAAGACTCACCTTTCTACATCCCCTCGATGAAGAGAATCATGATGTCCGCTAATAGCTTTCCAAGTGATTAGGTGCATTTGACCATGTGTGCATGAGAAGCAGTGCTCATTCTAATTTATGTGGAGTGCTCACAGTTCTTTAATCCTCCCAAAGAAACCATGAAGAGCAGATTGCTTCTCTGCAACTCAGAGAGGAAGTACAAAATAGTAAAAGGAACTATTCTGAACAAAGTTATCGATTACTGATTTGCATCTGAACAAGAGGAGATTGGCTATTCTAACACTCATGGATCTCCCAACAATGTTTTCGGCAAAGCAAGAGATTAAGTTTCAATTTGCAGTGTGTTGCTTGGAAACTAAAAGAATCAAATAACATCAGTGAACAACTTGACCAAATGAAATGATGAAAACATCGATGAAAGGTGGTGGGAGAACTCCTTTATCTCAATCATCACACCAAAACAACATAAAGAATCCGCGGGAGAACTCCTATGTAAAATCTCATTTAGGGGAAGTGCTATCCGAACGATAACCCACACACCAGGTCAGGAAATCGAAAAAATGAACTTCGAATTCGTAGCAAATTCCAGTGATCCTCTGGATTTCTGATTCATTCAAGGAGCAGAAATGGCAAACAGCGACTGTTTGATGAAAATACCAACACCAAAACAAAAGAGTACGGAGGAAGAATCCACTCACCGCCCACAGTGGCAACACGGGGGCTCTTCCGGTCACGATGAGCCAAACCCAGCCGTATCCCACGAAGTTCTGCAACACCCCGATTAGCAGCGCCGCCCAGAGCGGGAGGATCTCGCAGAGGCTCCCGGCGAGGAAGCCGATGCTGTCGCCCAGATCCTTGGCGACGCCGAGCCTCGCGATCTGGCGCTGGTTGTAGCCCAGGGAGCTCTTGATGACCGGCGACAGGCTGCCAAAGAGGTACCCGATCCCTGCGACGGCCTGCACCCACATTGCGGCCACGAACACGAGCCATCTGTTGTGCAACAACGTGCCCAGCCTCCCTCGCAGCTCACCCATCGCCTCCCGACCAAATCAAGATCGCAAAGTCCTCACCAAAGCTCGGATCTTTTCTCCCGACTTCCCGGTAGATGCGCCCGGAACGCAATCTAAAGGCCTCCCGTGCCTCTTTTACACCAGAAAAATATCAAATCTTGATTCAAGAAACCAAAGAAGGAACACTCGAAGTAGATTCTCCAAGTCAAATCAGATTTCCTCCCTTCCAAGAACCAAACTTTTTCTGCGTTTGCAATTACATATGCATTAATTAGGGGGGATGATACCGATCAAAATTTTCTACGGTGGAGGGAGAAAAGCCTTCTTCCGGGGCCAACCCTACGGACGAAGCAGGGCACGGAACACGAACGCCGGTATCTCACGCGTCGACGGTCGGGTCAGCGACCTGCATAGACTATTTAACTTGTCAGCGTTGCAATCTAGCCTTGTGGATGTCCGGATGCGATGGCCAGCTGGGAACGACAGCCGCCCCGTGGAATGTTTCCCTGCGTGGGTCGAGATCAGCGAACACCACCACTCCCCCTACCCATCTCTGCCATGTAGACACCTAGTGACGTCATCATGGAACAGTACGGACGGACCCAGCGTGGTTCACCAATGGGAGGACACGCTTTCCTGAACGGTGCCTCGATGGAATGATCGACCACGCCAGAGCGCAGGGAGGCGTGGCCGAGGAGGATAAGAGCACGCGGCATTATCCACTTACTAATATCGCATAATCATCATATTTATAATTTACAAGCATATATTATTACTATTAGTAGTCTTCGAGAATTATAATAAAGCTAATTAGAGATTACCTTTATAATTAGTTATCTCTGATATCTCAATTTATATATTTTTAAAAGTTATATTAATATCTCTATATTTACGGAACATTTAACTCCGTTATTTTATATAATTATTATTTTTTATATATAGGGATCTTAATATTTTATTTTCGTAAGTATAAGGATCTGAATATAATTTTTGAAAGTATATTAATTAAAATATTAAAAATAATTATTTATAAGAGATAATTGTTTCTTCTCTTTCTAGGGCTTTTCGTCCACCCTTTTTGTTGATAGAGGTGCGGATGGAGCTGTGTTATCCACCATGGAAAGAGACGTGGGTGAGGTGATTCCAAGTGTCAGCTCTCGTGCATCAGCAGTTTGTGCCTTTCATTTAAAAGTCATGTGATGATGTATATATATATCCACATGATTTCTTCTTTTTATGTTCAAAATTGACATATAGACTTGGAATCCAACATAAGTTGCAATCAGATTTGCTTCTTCATCACTCACACAATCTAAGAGGAGATTTTTGCATACGTGTACGTTGACCGAATTGGTTCGTTTAATGTATTATAACACCGACACATGAAACATAATAAATGAAACGGAGAAACTTACTTCATTTCTTACCGAAATCAAACACATGGATGTCGAAAGTCACAGCATTATTAGTGTTTATCATCTGTTCCGATGTCTCATCAATCAACCTTTTATTATATTCTAATAAATGCATCGTCATGATTTGGATGGTTTTGATGACTTGATAAAATGAATCACTATAATACAACCACACACTAAATGTAAAAAAATATTTAAATCATATAAATTTTTTTAATTATATTTATTAATGATAAGTTAATATCTCATCGTCATCATTGGTGTGAGCACGAAGTCTCATTAAGAATTATCTATTTTATGTGAATCCATATAAAGAGAAATAACTTTTGTATATGAACAAATACTAGTATGTCATAATACGCAGTGAAAATAAATGAAGACACAATTAAATAGAACACCAAGATATACGTGGAAAAACTTCTTAAGGGTAAAAATCACGGGACAAACTAGAGATAATTCACTATAAGAATAATGAATATACAAATCTCAATCTCTTACCCAAAACCCTAACAACAATCACAAAAGAATAACTGGAATACAGATATCACATCACTACGCTCAATATCTAAATTCTTCATAATTCTCCCCGAGTAATCACAATAAGAATATACTGTAGATTTGATCTAATCTGATATAAGAAAACTACTAGATGATGGAGAACGGTCTCTCTGTGTTGTCCTTGTTTCTTCTCTTTCTTTCTGTTCTCCTAAGATTTTTGTCTTTTTCTCCTCTTTTTTGTTGTTGTTAAGATCTCCACTACTGGCCTCGTTACTGTCTTATTTATACCTATTTTTGCAACCACTACACAACCCCTAATATGAATTAGGGTTAGATTAAGAGAGGAGGTGGGTTGTAGGCTATTCAAGTCTATTATGGGCTGAATCATGGGCTGTCAGCTCGACACCCACATGACTTTATCTTTTTGAGATGAGTTCAAAAAAGATAAAATCATACGGAATGACTCAAAGCAGATAATTTCTCACAAACCTTCACGAGAAATTATCATAATAACACTAGAAGAAAGAAGCCATCGACTTTTTTTTATTATAAGATACTAATAAAAATATTTAGTGATTGAGAAATAAGACAATCAAAGAGCTTATAAATGTAAAATTATATGGTTTCATCTAAAGTAAATAATTTCTCATAAACCTTCTTTCTCATACACACGATAATAAAATATTAATTAGAATATAAATTTTTTTATTTTATTTAAATTATAACTATAACAATTTAAGTGAGAAGAGATGATTTGATTTGATTTTATAGGTCATTCGGACTCTTATATGTACTGTGGTACCAACTTGTGGCGTATTCGATCTTAAAGTAGATTGGCTCCCCAACTCATGTCGCCATGCCGCACAAGCGAAAACCAACTTTCAACACCCTCTCTCCCTCTTTGTAGTTACAAAGAGAAAGAGAGAGAGAGAGAGAGAGAGAGAGAGAGAAAGAGGGCAAATCGTAGCCGGCAGTGCTTTCATCAAACATAGTCCCGTTCATCACGCTGACATCAGTAAACATCGAATCTTATTTTAAATCTTTGTCGGTACACGGCGACCTCAGAATATTAAATAAATCACGTGATTCATGCGTTGTTGGCGTATGGCAGATCTTTCTTCGTGGACGTCACATGATAAAGAGACAGCCACCACACAAACATGCCAACTTTTTAAGTCGCTTGATAATATATATGTATATATATATATTAACATCAACTCAGTTCTACAAGTTTGGCCATATAATGAATGATTTCACAATATCATATAATTATTTTTAATATTTATCATGATCTCAATTTGATTGTCACGGATTGCATTATAAAAAGACCTTCCAAGTGAGTTTTCGGAGATGAACACATTTACTTATACATCCGATGGAATTTTCAAATATATGATTCATAATTCTGATTCCGATTCCGATTCGGGTAAAATCTATGAATGTCCAAACCGCTATCATCCCTACAGTTATCCCAATCTAATCCAAGGTTTAATCTGAATTAAACTTGGTAAACCAATAGCCCAGGTTTTGAGTTGGGCTGTAGAGGGGCCCATTCCACCCTCCAAAGTTCATACCTTGAGTGGGCGCCGAAACTTCATATTCCTTACGTACATCCAAAAAGGCTTCTAAGGTCTATAAATCAATACTTTTCCTCGATATAATATTTGTTACATTAAACCTTAAAATATATATTTTTTATTTATATTATCTGATATTATTATTGTGTAATCATTTCAAGTATGTTCTGAACGGATTGAATCCAAGAAAACTAAAAGGACAGGAAATGGTGCAGTGAGTACTGTGGGTGGTGACCTCGGTGCTGGGGTTTGGGATCTCTTCCTCCTGCTTTGATTCCGTGGCCATTAGCTTTACACCTCCTTCTTACCCCCTCTCCTCGGTTATCCCCTCGCCCCCATGTATATATATATATACATATACATGTAGTTACGTAGAGGACATACAGCATCGGCGTTGGAGAAGAAGATCCAGAGCAGCCGCAGAGATGGCAGACTGGGGGCCGGTGTTCATGGCGGTGATACTGTTCATCCTTCTCTCCCCGGGCCTCTTGTTCCAGGTCCCCGGCAGGAGCCGCTTCATCGAGTTCGGCAACTTCCAGACCAGCGGCATCTCCATACTCGTCCACTCCATCATCTACTTCGGCCTCCTCGCCATCTTCCTCCTCGCCGTCCACGTCCACATGTACATCGGCTACTAGCTAGTCTAATTCCCCTTGATAGGATTGCAGACGCTTCCTCGTGCCTTGTTCCTCTTTGCTTGTGCTTCTGATGTCTTGTTTCTTCGAACGAGTGAGTTGTTCAAGTGCATGCAGTTCCTCACCATGAATGCTTGCAGGAAGTATCCGAACGAGAAACGTTGCGCACGCATAGCCAAATGGTGGAGCATCTCTTTTAGCGTCTAGTAGAAGCTAACGATCTCACTTCATGGCCTTTACCAACTTCAAATTAATATGAATGAATCTGATACTTTGCTTCTACTCATTTAAATAATATCATGTAAAAGCAGCTTTTATTATTCATGTACGACTCGATTAATGAGATGACTACGTAATTTGCACTGCATAGAGGTATTCGATCGGTGGGCGTACGCTCTCATTCTTATCGTGCTCCACTCCTGATGCAATCCTTCATGTCCTCATGGGTCGGATCCACTTAAGCTAGACTACTCTGCCTGGACCACCTCACCTTTCCCGTTACGTGGCATGATCGCGGTGGTCCGATCAGTGGACCCCAGCGGTTCGGCCAGGTGGAGCCCGAAGATTCCGCTACAGCGACGTTACGGGCTACCCACGATTTCCATCAGGGGCCCTACGACGACGAACGAAGTACACGTGGGTGGATGGCTGGCATCGATCACCGCTTAATTGGGATCTGACGGCTGCTGCGTGCCGCGGATCGAGAAGTCGACGGTCAGGATCCGACACCAGGGGTGGCCCCCCCACTCGAAGTTTCCATTTGTGATTATAAACGGTGGTTTTCTATGAGTAATTGTGTCTCGTTGTTACATAGAGGAGGAGGGAAGCGGGAGAGGGGTTAAGAACCCGTGTTCGTTCGGATCCTTGGAATCGGACACAGGCCGTGGAGATCGGTTTGGGGTGGGAGGGCGGCTTTGGTCGATTCCATCTCGCGCAGGTGCCCTTCGAGTAGTCTCGGTCTGGTACGTGGAATATGATTTTCCCGTGCTTTTAGGTCGAAACTCTTTTCCCCTTCATCTTTGATGCTTTCTTTGTCTGATCCTTGAATTTTGCTGGCCTCCGTCGATTTATACTCAGTCGTGTTATAATTGGTGACAGATGGTGTTCGATTCCCGTTTCCTATGGATTCCTAGTTCTTGAATTATATTTTTCTTGAGTTTTTGGTGCGGATGGAGGCATTTGAGTTGGTGTAGGGTTCTGGACTTTGTTTCTCTTCTTGAAGATTACAGTTTCAAGGACTCTCAGTTTGCGCTTAATATTCGGAAAATATTGAAGTTGTAATTGTCTTCGATGTCAATAGACTGTTTGGATTGGTTATTGTGAATTTTATCGTCTATTTTACTTTGCAACTTCAACAGGAAATG